ATATATGACAGGCCTAACTGGATGAGTTTGAACTTAGTAGATCTGACTCTATCGGTTTATTGAAAGGATCAGTTAATGCTTGATTTTGTTTAATCAAATTTGCATGCTTATATCTGGTAATCATCTTGTTTTTGGAATTTGTGCATTGTTTCTAACAATTTTTATTATTTTTTATTCTCTTTAAAGTAAAAAGATAAAGTGCTGGCGAGATAGCTCAGTGGACTAATCGCCTGCTTAAGCTGGCGCAGGAACTCGGGTTTGATCCCCCTCACCATGTGCCACACTGGCCCTGCCCCCAGGTGGGCTGAACCAGCCACTGAGTCTGGGCATGGTGGTGCACATCTGTAATCCCAGTGCTGGGAGGCTTGAAAACAGGAGGATCACTATGAGCTGCATAGTGAGACCTTGCACAAAATACATAAAAAAAAACTAAAATAAAAAGATTAAAAAAAAAAAGTTATGCCTGAATTTGAAAGCAAAACTTTTAAAGGTATTTTAGAATTTGGTGTCTTTCACCTGATCTCTGTGAGTCCCCCTGAGGGAATTCAGGGAACTTCTAAGTCTGATGGCAAATTTTCAATGGCTTGTTTTTCTGGAAGAAAGGCCCAAGTTTTTAACAAATCCATGACTCCTCAAAGGTAAGGCCATGGCAAATGAGCACCCTTCAGCTGTTCACATAACTCATGAGTGAATGCCTTTTGCTGAGTTAGCACAGCATTGTCAGAGGGGACAGAGAGAACTTGGGCCACCAGCGCAGGCACATTTTAGGTGGCCCAAAGCATAGTGCTGTTCTAACAGACAGCAGTTCCACTGAGAAGAAACCCCCTGAATATCAGAGCACAGGATGTGGGCTGTGACACGGGAGGGAGAAGGCAGGGTCAGCTCTCCAGCAAAAGAACCCATTAGGATTTCAGCTGAAACACCAGCAGAGCCACCAGCCACGGAAGTAGGAGAACTGGCCTCTGGCCAAAGACGTGCCTCACTAATCTCTGATGTGTTTCTGCCCTACTTGTAGGGCTGCTAAGATTTCTTTCTCTGGCAACAAATTTGGTGTAAAAGCTATGTATTTTCCTCCCTACCGGTGTCTCAAAGTAATTCTCAGTAGGAAATTAATCACTTGGGCATGTAAAGATTTATTCTGCCTGCTGGTGAGGGGATATAGTTATGCAAATAAACTGCTTAATTATATTTAATTTTATAGGTATATATACTCCTTTCATTTTCTTAATCTCATGTTACCTTTCATGATTCATCCCATTTTCACCAAGAAACTTGAGTTTCTTACTATATTAAAGAAAATTTATAAAACTTAAAAAAATGCTAAGAAGCATAGCTCCCTTGTTAAAATAATGTACATGGCTCAGACCAAATGATTCACTGCTAGAGGAACCAAATGGAAGAAAAACAGCATGTGGTTTTCTCTTTTTTCAGATGAAATATTTCAGTAGCCAAAGAATCACTGAATTTTAAAACTGGAAAAAATAACAACAAGTAACATTTGCGTATCCCTTTAGACTTTATAGACTGCATTTACATATATGTAAATCAATTTTTATTTCACTAATTGAAAAACTGAAGTGATACTATTTGTAAGTTGTCCAGGAGGCAAGGAATGGTAAGGTTTTGAACTCCGCAGGGTAGATGGCAAGCAATGAGTTAGAAAGTAGTGACACTTACCTGAGGGAAGTGTAAATAAGGATTAGCACCATTTTAAAACTCAGAATTTATAGTAGCACATTAATTTTTTTCTGGAGCCAAGTAGGCTATAAATAAACTTAAGCACAATACTTAAAAATGTAAGTGAGTGCTCAGCAGGCATGCATGGTAGTAGATGCAACAGTAAAATAATTCCATTGCAAAATGATCATCCTAAAATGCCCAGACTTTAAAAAGATTGCATGACTATCCAAATACAACTTATAACAAGAATGTGTAATATTATTATTTCTCTTATATTAAAAAATGTGTCAGCCTTTTCAGCTAGATTTTTCCAACCACCCCTGAAGCAGATGGGATCCACATATGCAGGCATTTTAAAGCTCTGCATGCAGATGGATATGTATGTAGAATTAGACTTACATTGGAAACACAGCTCAGGAATCTCGAAGTACAGTGGTAGTATTTTAGGACAGGTGCTAGCATAACAAATGGCTCTCTATGATTCCCCCAAATCTTTTGGAACAAAAGGAGCTGCCTGGGGTAGGCTTGTGAATTGGTCATGTTCAGCAGTCCCTAGCCTCTGCTCCAATTCCTTCTCCAGACAGAAGCCCAGTTTTACAAAGCACAAATCTGATCATGTCTCTCTCTGGATGGGATTCAAGCTTGCTACTTGAAACACAAACCCCTCTCGCCATGACGGACAGTCTCGGCCCTGCTCTGCAGCTCACTTTCCTTCCCCGTCCATTGTGGGAAGAGAAGTCCAGTAGAAAGAAGTCACCTGAAAACCTGCATCACTTTCCTGACTCTGGCCCTAACTCTATGTAATTTGTGCACAGTTGCCATAGTGATGGAGATTCAGTTCTGGACTGCTCCTTTCACTTAACACCAACATGCTGCTACATAGCTCCTTTGCATCACTTTAGGTAGACTTGACTCTGCCACCTCCCTTGTGTTAGCTGGTGATTGTTCCTGATTGTTCACTTTCACAAAGCACAAGGCAATGACACTTACACATGGAGCTTTACATGTGTTTTCTTGTTCTTAGACAAATCACCATGAGTGAGAATATAGACTGAATTTGGGGATGAACATTTTTATAGCTCTTAAAAATATATCCCAAATAACCCCAACAGATTATTTCCTGGAAATATTGCCAATGAAAGAAAAACTGTAATTTTGTGCATGAATAGGTTAAAATAATCTCAGAAAACAACCAGATATATGACCAGAAGTGCCTGGGGGAGTCTTTGCAGCTTAATTTTCTTTGAGAAGGAGTTGCAGTTGAGTGCCCAGCCTTGAGATTTCTGTTCACTGGTCTCACTGTAAGCATTTACCCAGCTGACTCTGCATATGACATTCAAGACTGAAGCATGAATGCCTGACTCATGAATCGAAGGGTGCAAAATTCTTGAACATATGAACATACGATACATAGTAGCAGAATAATACAAGAATTGTACATCCTCTTACATTGGACATATTCCAAATACTGTATTTATTTAGTATCCGTGTCAATAATAATAAATTATAGAAAGGCCCCTCGACTGTCTTTTAATTTTATGTAAAGGTACTTAAGATAGCTTAGCACTGTTAGCTGAGTACTTGCTTATGCACATACGCATTAATTTTATAACATGAATCTTTTGAAACTATCATTTCCAAGAAAAGCATAGCCTAAGAATTTGATCTTGGCATTTCTGTAAAAGTGGTCTTGATGTTTCTGCAAAACATTAGCTGAGCATATCAAAGTCTTCATGCTAACTTTCAGTGTACTGAATTAATAAATGCCATAGTAACTTGGAGTTAACTAGCTATATCTGAACACAAAGTTAATACAGCATTATAGACAGTCTTATCTTCTGTGAAAGATTTCCTATTTTTAAAACCCTATTCCACCTTCATATTTATTGCACATATTCTCTCTTATCCACTTGTTTAAATCCTCAGCACATAGATTTTTTAAAGCACTTAAGCCACAGTGAAGTATCAGTTGGAGATCACCCAAAGATGAAGGGTCTGGTGTAACTCTGGCATGGGACGGAAGCTCAGTGAGAGCTGGAGAGACGTGGGAATTCATTAATGCTGGGCTGAACAATTTAATGAAAATAATCCATCAGAAAGGATCACATGTAAAAGAGTGACTCAGAGACCAAACAATGGAGACAACATGAATGAAACAGTCACCACGAAGCACTGACTTTTATTTGAACTTACAAAGGATTACCTGTCTTTCTATTAAGAGGTGCTCTTTCTGGAGCTACTTTACGACTATCGGCAGCTCATCTGCTAGTGTTTTCTAATGGAAAGAGCACAAAGGTACAAGGCCTGTGTTCAAGAGGACCAGGGAAATGGGAACACCAAGGTGACATCAATTGTCAAGAAGAATACTTGTTTCCTTTTAGTTCTGGCACATATGAGGTAGGTCAGACAACAAAGGCAGCACTTCAAGCAAAAGAAAATAAGCAGAAATGAAAATTAATTAACAGAGATCAAAGGGCTTCTTACAAGTCAGTCACTAGGTGGGTAATACACTGGAGACCCAGGATTTGATGGAGGCCACTAAAGAGCCATGAGCCCTCCAGGTTCCCATTTCCCCACCTGCAAATAGTAATATACTGACACACGCCCAATAGCCTTTGGGTGTCCTGAAAATGAATAAATTGCTCATGGTATTTAAAAGCATCTGAGTATCTACTATGATAAATGTAAAGAATATACAAGGTCTTGGGGTCACCATTTTTTATTATGTAAAATTTATCATTTCGAGTGTTCTTTGTAACAATAGTAATGGTATGACAAGAAATAGCAATGGGCTGAGGTTGACTCATGCCAACTAGTCAGGCTTTGGATGCACAGACTTAAATTTAATTTTCACAACAACCCTATGTTGCTGGTATTGCCATCAGTCCCATTGTACAGAGAGGAAAACTGAGGACAAAGAAAGATTAACCAGCTCACAGTTCCATAATTCCTATGTGGAGGAGCCTGAATTTGAATGCAGGCAGGCTGGTTCTTATAAGTGAACTTTCAAAGTGATTGGCACAGCCTGCTCACGGTCAATGGGACCCACATCTGGTAGATAAAAAGTTTAAGTGTTGCCCTTGATTCTCTATGCTTACACCCATCTACCCATGATCCTTCCTCCCAACATCTGTGATGATCCCAACCATGCCCAGCTCTCTCCACCTGCCCCTAAGCCCATAGATGAGTAGTGCTGCAGGAGAATAAACAGCAATTTGATTCCTGCTGCTGTAAATAAATAACTCATCACTACTGACTTTCACCAACACACCCAAGCAACATTCATTTCTGATCTCCATTCTCCTGGCAGGGGCTGCAGTCATACCCACTGACAACCCCATCCCCTTCCTCTCTCTTGTTGTGGGACAGCCATGACCCTTCCTACCCAAACTCGATCTACCCACATGTGACAGGAGTCCATCTCCACCTCTTCAGAAAGCTGACATGGTGCACGATCACCTTTCTCCTCCGGCTTTATCCTTTCCCTTTCCACAGTCCTTTCTCTCAGCAGTGACTGTCCAATTAGCCCATTAAGGAACTCCTTCCCTCCCTCATGCTCCCTTCTGGCTTCTGCCTCTATGCCTTTCTCTGTTCCAAATCAGTGTCTCTTGCTGTCACCTGTGTTTCTATGCCCTTTGGAGTCACTCTGATTTTGGCTCTGCCTCCACCATCCACTGTCAAGTATTCACTGCACTGTCTCCATTAATACAAAAAGACACTTCCTATTCCTTGTCTTAGTTTCTCAGCAGCACACCTGATTTCTTCTTTTCTCAAATCTCAAACTTTCCTTGACTGTTGGCTATCACTTTCTCCTTTCTTTATTCCATGCAGACTCCTTCTCAGGCTCCTTTAGCAGCTCAGCTCTTTTACCTGACACGTGAATGCTGTGTCTCCTTGAAGCTGGTTCTAAAGACCTCTTGCTACTCTGATTTGCTGAAGAAGACAGTGAGTCAGTTGAACACAAAGAGGATAGTAGGTGGCACACAGTAAACACTAAGTTACCTTTAGTTGATTTACTCTCTTTGGCTTTGAAAGCTGTGTTTAGGCAGACAGCTCCTGAAGACGGTGTCATCATGCAGACCTCTCCCCTGAGCGCCAAGCTGCAGCCCACTGTCAACGCATCACCTTTACCAGATGTCTCTCAAGACCTCAAGATACATACTGCAAATGACATGTCTCCTACTCTGCCCAAACTTGGTTTGGAAGAGGTCATGGGATACTTTGTGAATCAGATAAAAGTTCTCCTCTTACAAAAATTCACAAAGTGTATTCTTTTGCATGCAACTTGACACAATTCATGGACCCCAAATTAAAGATCATTACCTTAGTGCATGTGTCACTTGGGCTTGAAGAAGGATAGAGTTTCACCTAGGGAAGAGGAAGGTGGAAAGGGCCAAGCTGGTGGAGAGGGCAGCTTGACAGAGGCAAGGCAGCAGGAAAACCTGTGGAATGTGGCCAGGTACAGAGTGACAAGAAGGATGCACACAGAAAAAGGACCAGAGAAAAAAGAGGGACTGTATAATTCCAGGGTTTATAACCATGTGAAACTCTTGCACATAGGTGGCAGAGCCGTAAAGGTTTTGAAAGGAGAGAGATGATTAGATTTATGTTTCATACTTTAAAAATAATAATTATAACAAACACTTATTGAGCGCTTTCTATGAGCTTTATACTCAGTGCCCACAGGTTGCCATTTAAAAGCTGGAGATGGGAAGGGGGTGGGGCAAGCGCAGAACAGTGAGGGAACTCTGAATAGCTTTTTGATGACTAAAGTAAAATTTAAGGACCATATGAGTGTAGGACAAATACAAGATGAATGACCGTGTATTGAAACTATTAAAGTGCATGCCATTTTACTTTTATCTCAGTGTAAGGATGCTAGTGACAGAATAAGAATTCTTTAAACAATTTGGTCCCATTACTGCCACACATTTTAGTGACAGGCAGAGAACAGAAGCTCCAGAGTCAGCGAGCTCAGCTAGCCCCTCCCAGGAGCCCTGGCAGCTGTTGTGCTGACATTTGGTTCCTGGGGGATGTCCCCTGGGTTAGGGCTTCCTTTCCTCACTCCAAGAAAAGAGTCCTTGAAAAAAATCTGTTTTAGGTGAGTTCTGCAAATTGAAAATGAATGGACTAGTGAACATCTTATTAACTCAGCTACAAAGGAGCCGGGCAATTTGGCTTGTTTCTTTTGTCCACAAAACTAACAATCTTCAAGTAAAGTTAGTAAATGCTGGGGGTGTAGCTCAGTGATAGAGCACTTGTCTAGCATGCACAAGACCTCCTCAGCACAAATAAATAAAGGTGACAAATGCCCCATGTGCAAAGTGTAGAAACAGGGAAGGAAGTTCAGTATTTGGAATCAGGTTATCCAGCCATAAGCCTAAATCCTGAAGTGGGATAGCAGGGAAATCCCATTGCAGAGTATATGTGAAGACCCAGATTTGGGCCAGGGGTGGTGGAGGAGGCTGCCAAGAAGGGAAAGGTTGGAGGCAGGAAGGGCTGTGAGTGGGTTGTTTCAGCCTCAGGGCAGAACCCGCCTCCATTCTGGGCCTGAACTCTTCCTGCCCGCACAGGTCGCAGAACCCTGAGATTAACTTGACCTTTCCTCTTCCCGGAATGAGTCTTTCTGTAGCATGGCCAGGTCCTGCCCTCTTGCAGGGTCACTCCGGATAGGAAAAGACACCCTTTCCTCCTGGGGCAGCGCCCGCATCCTGGATGTGTTGCTGACTCGGCACGGGAAAATGCTCGAGCGATAGGGCTGTGCGAAAGCGTTTACAAGAATGTTCGTCTCCAAAAAGACACAAGGTCTTTTGTTTCGACTCAGGAAAACTGTTGTTGGAGACGGCTAATTAGTCTCCAAAGATCTGAGCTACATTGTTTGAGCCCGCTGAAGCGAATAGGACATTTTAGAAACAGGCAGGGCCTGATGGCAGCGCCTCTCCATCAGTAGGACGCCCAGGCTCGAGGTCCCAGCTGGGACAGGTGCGCCGAGAAGCAGAAGTTCTGCAGGACTGGTGAAGTTAAGAAGGCGGCTCAGTGGCACAAAATAAAGCCCCACAGTGCACCATACAGTGAGCAGAGCCAGGCGCTGAGCGTTCTAAGAGACTTTGTGGTGCCCCACGTGCCACCCGACTCCAGGGCTGGCCTCCAGAGGGTCCGGAGCGCGGGGAGGAGAGTCCCCCTGAGGTGGAAGCCAGTGGGGAGCATCTCTAGTTTCTAACAGGGATGGTGAGGGGGCCTACACCGGCCTGGCGCTCACGTGATGTCTGAGGGCAAGAAGGACGAGTGGGATCACGACAACCCTCGACCTCTCTCCCAGTGTGTCCCGCCCTAAGCCGGGCGCCCCCAACCACGCGGCTGCGTGTGGCGGGCAAGCGGGCCCCATCTCTCCGCTTCGCCCAGGTCAGAGTGGAGGGCATCCCGGTGCCTGGGCTCCGCCGCAGGATGCGGAGGGTCCTCAGCAGCCCTGGAGGCGCCCCAACCCTGCCCGACCTCCGGCCCGCCCCGCCGGCCCGGCCCGCGCGGCTCACCCTCCGGTCTCGGCGCCCGAGTCCACGCAGTCCTCCTCCTCGCCGCCGCCCGCCTTCGGGTCCATGGCGCGCGTCCTGGCCGCGCTCCCTCTTGGCCGCCCAGCCCAGCCCAGCCCTGCCCTGCTGCCTCGGAACGTCTCACCACCCCGGCTCCCGCGAGCAACTCTGGCGCCGGCAACCGCCTCTCGCCGCGCCCTCTCCCGGCCGCGCCCGGCCCGCACCGGCCGCCGCGCCCGCCCTGTTCCTCGCCGCACGCCGGTGTGAGCGTGTGCGCGCGTGTGTGCACGGCTGTGCACGGCGGGGTTGCGCGCAGTGTGCACGAGGATACGTGTGTGCATGCACTGAGTGTGCGCTTGAGGATGTGTGCGTGTAAACGAGGGTGTGCGCGTGTGCATGGGCGTGTGTGAGCCTTTATACTTCACTTGCTTGTGCGGGTGAGTGAGCGAGATGTATGGATGCACATATATATCTGTCCGTGATGTGATGTGGGTGTGGTATTTACAGTAGCACTTGTCTGTGTATATGCTGAGTGCTTGGGCCAATCTGTGGTTTGTGGCCTTGTGCAGTGCGCTCGTGGACTCGCGGGCTTGCGTGTGTGTGTGTGTTTACGCGCGCGCGCACACACACGCCTGTGTTCAAGCAGGAGAGCCACCGGCAAGGCTGGGTGCCCTGGAAGGAATCTGGAGTCCCAGGGAGTGCCCCAGGGTTTTAAAGCTTTGCCTTTGCAGAAATACCACAGGGGAACAAGGGAGGGATGTTTCCTTTCTGGGATCAGCATGAATGCCTGGGTGTTTTCTGAGGGTTCCTCAGAATTGCCAGCGCTGAATCTATTATCGCATTTCTGGGTGCCAAGCTGAGTGACTTCTCAGCACCTGACTCACCAGCTTACAGTAGTGTTTGCGTTCTTTTGTTTTCTGTGCCCTTTAAAAATAAGGTGAAGAGGATTGGGTGTATGGGCCTTACTGAGGAAGATAGTGCAAAACCGTCTATTCGTGGTGGAGGGGCACTTTCTTTTAGATTGAGGTGGGCCACCTTGGTGGGATGGGGAGGTGGAGAAGGCTCTGACAACTTGGATTTCTTTCTGACCACCCATCATAACTATCCTAAGGCATTCATTTCTACTGTTTTACTTTCCAGAGCAAGGTATTTTAACCTGTCTCAGTCTGAATTTCTCCTCTGTAAGATAGGGCTATTGCTGTCTACCTGTGTTGCCACTGTGGATCGCATGACATCGCACCTGTGAAATACTTACTTACCACGGTCCTGAAACACACCAAGCACTAGTCTTGGACAACTGTCACTATATGTAGAGTGCAGAGCTGGCGTGTATTCCCTCTCTCAACCTACAAAGCAGTGGTCCCTTTGGGTGACAAGTGATATATGGTGGAGAGTTGAAAGATAGGGTTTCTTTTCTCTCCTTTTTTTCCTGTACTTCCTGCTTACTTATCTAAATATCACCTCTTTCTGATTTTTACTTCAAATAAATTACACAAAAGAGAGACTAAATCAACAAAACCAGAAAGAAAAGCACTCTTATCATTAGGAAAATATGATGGAAAATGTGATCAGAAAAAAAAAAAAAGGCAAATGTGTCAACTCCGAATCTAAGTAGGTCTTACTGCTCCTGAAACTCCTTACACCCAGAGTAGAAATGGACATGGTGTTCTCTATTGATGCTTACTAGCTGGTAGAAGGGAGCCTTTCAAGGGAGACTTTCCCACTTGCACTGATTCTTAAATGAAAATTCTCAGATGGACCAGGAACCTGTGGGTAGTACAGTGCATGGTGTCATCAGTAATCATTTTTAAGTCAATGGAGAACAACTACACAAGGGGATGGAGTGAAGTGGGTGCTGCAGGTAAAGAAACCAGCAAGCCAGGGCAGCATCAGGCACTGAGCCCGCAGATGGAATTGAAGTGAGGGAAAGCTAGGTGATTCCAGCAGCACAAGTGGCAAAGGCAAAGTGGGGCATTGGACATTTATGTGACACCTTCAAAAAGCCATCAATACATCCCTTTAGCTTACTTGGACTGTAGAAGGACAGAGGACCAATAAATCCAGCTTAAAAGAATTGGTGAAAGTACCAACTAGGTAAGCATAGTGGGTATTTTGTATCTGGTTACTTTCATAGCCATTTGCTGTGTGGGGTACATTTAGACACATGCCTCGTTTGGTCCTTTATAAAACTCTGTGAAGTAGGGTTATTTTTCAGTTTACAGTCAAGAAATCTAAACGCCATTGAGTTCAAGCACCTTGCCCAGGTCGCCTGCACCATGAGGAGAAGAGCCAGGATGTCCATACCATGTGGATGGAGACCCCACCATCCCATTCAGGCTGTACATTTAGGGAGATGGCACTAAAGAAAAAGGCCAGAGAAGAAGGGCTTTGAGAAATGAGATGATTTCAGCCTCTCTCCAAATTCAGCAAAAGGTCAGGCTGAACCAAACTTCTAGGCCACCTTTTCAAATGAAGGATTGAGGTAGATTCCCCTTATTCAGTACTGACACAGCTGTCAGAGCATGCCTGTGATATGGCCCTTTTCTGGGAAAAAAGCTTGAGTAGGGTCACCGTGTTTGGGTTATAATGGGCTCCTGCTGTAGTTTCAGGTCTCCTTAGCCTCACTTTTAACACAAGAGGTGTGGATAGCCAACTATCACAAGAGCCTCTTGGCAGTTGGCACAGGGCACTTGGCCCACAACCTTATATGGCTCCCAGACTCTATTTTCAAGTTATTGATTATCGTTCACTGTAGTGATGGGAGTGCAGTACTCTCTTCTATTGTCCCTGTAAGGTCGGGACAAGGGTGACATTCATCTGCCTAGGGTGCTCAGATCTTCCCATTTGAGCCTGAGAACAGCATCAGAAAAACACTGGGATGTGGCAGGAAGTGTGGTAGGCCAATAACCACGAACCTTGACTTCTAACCTGAAAGGTTATGTTACTGGTTACATAAATGTCAGGGATTTCTTGTACATGATCTCTTTAAGTCTTATAAAAACCTAGTGAGGATTCCATTGTCCTTCTAACAGTACTGGTACTCTGAATTTTAACAGGACACTGAAGCCCTTTAGCGGTAGTGAAGCCTATCAGTGGGAGGTGTTGCTGATTGTTTTTAATTACTTTTTCTCAGAAAGTTCTGAATACCACAGTCATGTTGCATTTTACCTTTACTGCTCATTTCTGACTATAGATCTTGCATGTGTTGGTGTCATAGGAAAAAACCCTTCTACCCATTTATTCATTGAACTCAGTGTCTCAGGTTGATGCTAGGGCTATAGTGAGGAGCATCTAGAGCTGGCTCCTGGCCTAGTGGATCTTGGGAGGTCATGACAAGATATTTCTCATGTCTCATTGCCCCGGAAACCTGCCTGGCTTTTCCACCAAGCCAAGGCTCCCTTAGATGGCACCTGGAGGCTGAAGCATGCACCTAGCTGGTATATAGTGTCCTTGGCCAGTTGGGTAAGGCTGGGATATCAAAGACCTTTGTGGGGGGAAAAAGCTCAAAATAATCTTATGGATAAGAAGGAACAAGCATTCACTTTGCTGATGAAAGATAGATTAATAATCAAGAAGTCCCAAAGTAAATGGAAAGGGGCCCAAGTTGTAAACAGCGGGGCATAACAAGCTTTAATATAAGAACTTTAAATTAAAAGCCTAAAAGTGGATCGGAATAAAAATCTCCAGACATAAGATTGGCTTGTATTTGGGTTTCAGTTTGGACGGGAGATTAGCTCATTTCCATCTCATGAAGCTGTGCTATTTGCTTTAGAAAGAGGTCAGCTGGATCTAATACAGTCCTATAACTAAAATGTGTTTTGAAGTTACCAGCAAAATAGAACAGGAAAATGTTGGTTTGGAAAGTTTTATTTGTTAATTTTAATGAATTATTGTAATTTAAAAGATTACATTCCATAGAAACAAAAATTTTAGGCTAGAGAAACATGGAAAAAAAAATCACTTTCTTCCAAGGTTCCAGAACAGTTTGTCTGAAAAATAAATATTATGATCTTGACAAGAAAAATTATAAACTATTGACAAATCTACTTAGACAAAGAAAGCCACTAGCCCTACATGCAAGCATAAGGGGACCAGATGGCAAAGGGATACATAAAATGAAAGATAAACTGTGGAGCTGGAAAATAATGCCATTAAAATATAAATGACTCTGCTTTGGTGAGGGAGAGCAGAGACAGTGGGCCTGCCTTAGAGACGTCCCAGCCTGCAGTCTACAGAGGCCCTTGGCCTGCAGCTTTTCTGGGGGTGATATCTGGGGTCTAAGCCAGACACCTGCCTACATGTCCACCATGAGCATACAACTGGTAGGCTGATCGGTGTAAAATGAGACTTCTGTGGAAATTTTAGAATGCGAATGCAGTACTCGACCCGGGGCACTGACTTCTGGGGACCTTCTGGGAATTGTGGCCAATACGTCTAGGCTTGGAAAGGACTGGCCTTGTCCTTTTCCCTGACTTGCCCTTCAGGACCCACCCAGCCTTGTATACCTCCACTGCCACCTACACTCTGCTAGGGCTGTGATAGGAAGATGCTAGAGTTTGGGTGGCTTCAACACTGGACATTTATTGGGTCCCAGTTTGGGAGGCAAGACATCCAAGATCAAGATGGTGCCTGGGCTGGTTTGTTCTGAGGCTCATCACCTCACCTTATAGATGGCCATCTTCTCCTTGTGTCCCCATGTGACCTTTCTACAGTGTGGTCTCTCTAGTGTATCTTCGTGTGTCTAGAATTCTCTTCTTCTAGACTTCTGCCAGGGTGGGCTAGGCCATTAAAATAGTCCCACTTTAAGTTAGTGACTTTTTAACTTTTTTTTTTTTTTTTTTTTCAGAACTGGGGATTGAACTCAGGCCCTTGTGCTTGCCAGGGAAGTGCTTATTCAACTGAACCATGTCCCCGGCTCGCTAGTTAGTGATTTTTTTAAAGGCCCTATCTCTAGATATAGCCACATTCATAGGTACTAGTGGTTTGGACCTAAAGAAATATGGAATTTGAATGATAAAATTCAGCCTAGCCTATTCCATCTCATGGAGGAGGCAAAAATTTACCAGGGCAGCACTGCACACTTCAACCACATTTAGACTAGCCAAGTTCAAGTTTCCTCTTTATTATTTTCTAGGTTTGTAGTCTAGAGCAAGCTCTAAGACTTAGCTCTCTTGTCTGTGGGAAACATTGGGTATTGTCATTTTGTTCTGCAGCTAGCTTCCAAATCTCAGTCTTTTTCATGCCCTCTATCAGGCTCTGTG